AGTCCTAACCATCTGCGGTTTAGTCATTTTCCTGTTTTTGAGAAAATTTTTCAATGGTGCTACCGGATTTTTTTTGTTGTTTTGTAACCCTACGAAAGAGGGAGATAATAAAGAACTTCAAGTGCAAAAGCCGAGATATCCACACCAAAGAGAAAATGATTGTGACAACCCCAACAGAGAAAAAAAAGAAGAAAACTAAGAAAAAATTCATGTATTTCAATGTAAAAGAACTTTTCCTTCTGATAAATAAAAATTTAAATGAACAATCGGTATCTTTTTTTCACTCATCCACTCATTTTCACTTTTTTTTCAAATTTTTTTGCCACTGCTTCTTCTTCTAACTTTCCTTCCAGTCAACTTTTGATATCATTAATCTTTGTTAAAGCAGTTCACAAAATGGGATGTTCTGGCGGTATACGAAGAAAAAATGAAGAAAGAGAAGCACAGAGCAGATGAATGAACAGATGAGAGTAACGGAAAAAGAAAGATGAACCTCAACTTCGGCAGTTCCATGAACTTTCTTCTCGTAACCCTCAATATTCTGCGTTTCTTCGGTTCGAAGCGCTTGAAACGGCTATAAAACAACAGAAGAAGTAAACCCATCTTTACAGGATGACCGAGTAAAAAAAAAGGTTTAAAATTGAGCAATAAAAAAATTGTAGCTTTTTTTTTTTGTAATCTTCTCAGTTTTTTCATTTGCCTCCCTTTGGAACTTGAAAATTATTCCTCCTTCAACTTCTTAAACTTCTGCTTTTGCCTCTCACTTTTTTACTTTTATTTTCAGTGCTTTAATAGATTTCGAGTTTTGTTATATCAATAAATTTTAACTTAATGACTAAAAAACCAAAAAAGTAAAAAAATTAAAAGGCAACAACTGACAACAGAACTGTTTTTGACTGCCGTCAAGTGTTGAAAAAGAATGTGTCAACTAAACGTTCCGGAATGTCCGCCGATTTTTTCTAGTTGTTCGCTATTTTGGTTGACGCCAAAATTAGCATCAAAATTTTGACAGTTTTGTGACATAAAAAAAAAACAGTACTTTTTGTTTTTCTAATAAGCAATGTCGTATCAATTTTTTAAAAAGCAGAAAAAAACAACAACAGATGTAGAAAGCTGAAATAAAAAGCAATTCCAAATACAAATTAAGTCGAAGAAACAGAAAACAGAAAGAAGATTAATGTGACGCTCAGAATCAACGTTAGATCTTTTCATCTAACCCACTCTTCTTCAACTCCTTCTCCTCCTTATCCGTTCTCTAAATCTTCTTCTGGATAATTTTACTATACAAGGTAAAAAATCATTTTTAAACAGTTTTTTCACTTCTCTTTTTTTTTCGCTTTTGAACATAAAAAAGAAAATACAAATACTTCTTTTTAGACATTTCTTTTTCAAGTCTATTTCATGCTTTAAAATATATTTACTTTCTACTAATCAGAAATGTCAATAGCAAGAAAGAAAAAATAAATAAAAAATTTTTAATATTCCAACTGTACTGATGGTGCTGCTGTTAGTGTTCGGTACCTTAAGCCGCCGATCGTCAGAACGCATTTTCCCAACGTTAATTGGTTCGTTCCAACAAAATTCTCGTATTTTTTCAGCCTTCTGTCAAGCTCCTATTATTTCAATTCTTCAACTTCTGCTACTGTGTTTTAGTAGATACCTCTGCCAACAAAAGCTAAAACAGTTATTATCATTAGTTTTTCTACCATTTCTTTATCTTTTCTTTTTTTTTCGTTAAAAATCGATTAATTAATTATGGCTCATAATGAATAAATTAAAAATTGGAAATGAATTAGACGCAGAAAACGAACACTGTTACAAATTCAGCTGACAATATCTGTATTAGATGACAAAAAACAGAAAAAAAACTTATTCATTTTAAATAATTGCTTTTTTCTTTCACCTCTTCCTTTTTTAGCTCATCGATTTTTAGAAAAGAATAACGAATACCAGACGCTCCCAA